AACCATCCTGATGAGGCACATTGTTCCAAAAAGTACTCAAGAGAAAACACAGGTAAAGAAGGTCAAACTAAAGAAAATAAATAGAATCAGGGCCATGAAATTGACAGCTTCTAAAATCTAAAGGGCAACATTAATTACAGTAAAAATCTGTTGTTGAAACAACATCAGAACTATGAGGTGTGCTGCTTTGAACCTGCATGTCAGGGCCCGCACAGGTTGAGTGGGATACAGCTTTTCCCAGAAGAAAGACACAGGTACTTGATACAATAAATTTCCCTATTTAAGAATTCTGCCTTCTGCTGGCAGTGGCAAACAGCTTTCAAATCATTACACCACAGAAGATTATTATCAGTGTACAAAGTGTTATTTTGTGTATAATTTTTATAAAACCTTCAGAATACCACACAAGATTCTGGCCATAACTTTTATAATAATAAGAAAGTTGTTTTAAAGTTCACTGGAGTCCCACTTCACTTTTGGAATAAAAGTCAAATTATTAAGACAGCCTCCAAACAAATTTAAAATTTTGACAAATTACTTTCTACAAACACATGACTCTTTGAGTTCCAGAGGTAATTTCTTCGGATGACAACAGAAACTCATGGGGTTTGGACAGTAATTATAAATTGACTCCCCTTTCAATCCATGTTAAACCGAGCTGGTTGTTTCATACACAAAATTATCATAGAATAAAAATCAGAACAATTTTAGTAGAAAGCTTGCTTCGTAGAATCCATCACTAAAAGGGTAGGCCTATATAAAAAATGTGAAGAGGAAAATATGACACTATATTTATATCGCTAAGATCTCTCAGAAAACAGTTAAAAACTTTTCTGAGATGTTAATGACCATTGTGATTAATGAAGCCAGTTACAAGAAAATGAGATGTTATTATATCAAGAAGATCATGTAAAATTGTACTATATAAACAACACAGTGCTCTGCCCACCTCAAAATAAAAGATCTCTTTATAGCTAAATGTGTGATTCCAAAGCCGGAGCTACTACAATGCCTTATCAGCAGAAAAGTGCACCTGCAGAAACCACAGCCTAGCAAATAAAATCTACTATACAATCAGGACAACTTTGCTTTAAATTGTAAAAAAGACGATTCTGCCATGCAAGCCCTCGGAAACCTACCACAACTTCAATTTTTTTTTTTTTTTTTAAATTTAGTACACGGCCGAAACTGAAAGAAAATGTTCCGTAATTCTTGTTACTTGATATTGTAAATACTGCTGCACAGCTTCTCTAAATCACAAATGTAGGCATTTTGGTTGAGCTAGTCATGTTTCTCAAAAGTAACACTGACACGCAAATGAAGCCGTGACATATGACCTTGGTTATTCTTTTCCCCCAAGACCAGGATTACGTGCACTGTGGCAGGTTTCACAATTTTGTGCACTGAGGTGGCATGAGATGTTTCAATGCCTTTAAGTTTATGTTTGGTTGAAATAAACAATTTTTCTTACTGTGTTTGTGTTTTGTTAGCTTCAAATAAACTAGAAAACCATTCAAATTTGTTGATTTTTTGGTTCATTTTTTTAGGACTGATCTTAGGACGTCTATCTATCGTTATTTCTCAGAAAGACACCATTTCCAATTTTCTAGGTCTAGTTAGATTGGTATCTGGATAAGGCCAAAAAAACTCCTATTTCCACAAAAATATTAAAAGTAGAATTTGGAAAATAGCCTTAAAAAGTTGTAACAACAGCAAATCTCAAGCCAAGGTTGGGATCGATAATAGGGCAATACTTTTATCGCACCTCTGTTCTTCTGAATTAGAGTACTTCTCAAAACTTTGCAAAAAAGCAATAAATTGTGACAATGACAAAAAGAAGGATAGATTTAGATTGAGCCTTTCAATGAGTAGAGAAAAAGTTCACCGAGCAAATCATGTGTGGAAAACTGGTTTAGAAAATTTATACTGACTGGATCATGAAGGAAGCCACCAGAGGCAAGCGCAATGGAATATGATCCCTGCTCACACACACACAAGCTCAGAAGCAAGAAAAGACCAAGGAACTCAACAGCCTATCAAGGAGTGTTGGCCTACGTATACACTCGGGCAAGTCGAAAGTAGGGAAGCTCGGAAAAGTGTCAAGCCCTGCTGTGACAGTCGAAGACACTCCCCTAGAAGAAGTAGACTCCTTTACCTACCTTGGAAGTATCATCATCGATGGTAAATGTGGAACTGAGGCAGATGTAAAAGCAAGAACCGCCAAGGCAAGCAATTATCAAAAGTCTGGAAAGCAAGCAACATCTCACTGCGCACCAAGATTCGACCCTTTCATTCCAATGTCAACTTGAAAATGTCAAGTCTGTGTGCTCCTCTACGGTGCGAAACTTGGAAGACAACAAAGACAGTGCTGAATAAAGTCCAGACTCTCGTCAACAGATGTATGAAGAGTATCCTAAAAAAATTAAGAGGCAGGAAGAAATGATGAGCTGTGGGGAAAGGACAGGACAAAAGATTTATAAATAGAAGTAGAAATAGGACTATGAAAGTGGCGTTGGATGGGACACACCTTCAGAAAGCCCAGCAGAAACATCACACAAGACAGTCACTGCAATGGAACCCACAGGGAGCACGAGGCAGGGGTAGGCCATGGGAAACAAGGAGGAGATGTGTGGAAAGGGACATAGAGATGAATCTCACTTGGAACGAGCTAGGAAGAATGGCCCAGGACAGAGATAAATGAAAGGAGTTTGTATGTGGCCTATACCCTGCAAGGGGTGAAAGGCACGGTGATGATGATGACAGCTAATTGAGCTAAACAGATTGTTAGTCATTTCCATAAAAGTGTATCTCTTGACTGTGATGACTGGAGAGGTTTAAAGCAGACAAAAATTATGCTGTGTTGTGTTGGAAAACACAATTTTACATGACAACTGTTTGTCAAGGTGAGGAAAAAGAAATCTTCTTGACCAAAAAACAGAATTTTCAAAAGCTTTTTTTATATCAATTTTCAAGTTTACTCCCCTTAACTGAATTAATTATAATAAGATTTAAGAATAAAAGAATAAGAAAAAAATAAAGTGCCAGATATATCATGTTCTACAACACGCTCTTTTTTACCACAAAAATCTGACAGACCCTAGAACACTCGGAAACATTTTCGGCTTTCCGGCAAGCATCAGAAGCCAGTGCTCGAACACTAACAAACTGACAAGATCTTCCACTGTCTTTAGCCCACTCACTCCTACCTGGGTGAAGTGAGGAAAATTTATTTGGTAGCTGGCCAGTTGACAGGAGCCCCCATGCAAAGTTTCATGTGCTCTGGCAAATTAATAAATGAGCTAGAATTGTTTTAATATGGAAAAAAACAGACCAAAGTGAACAAGCTATTGGGCCTAGATCTAAAACTAGACTGGTTACGATCAAATGACACAACAACCAGCCTTGATATTCTTCAAATGAAAATCAAGCCGAATCAAGGCTATTTTTCTCAATTACTCTCATCCCTCCTCTTAACTCTTCTAACACAAATTAATATTTAATTTTTTTTATCGCAATCAGGAACAAAATGTCAGTTTAACCCCTTTCACTCTAAACATCTCATCTTGACCTGAAAGCAAAGTAGTCAACTATTTATAAAATCTACAATATAATGATGACATTGAGCTTCTATCTCACTCAAAATCTTTTTACTTTAAATTCTTGAACAACTTTTACTTTTTGGCCAACTCAAGAATCAATCTACTATCTTGATATCTAGGCCTAAATCTAAAATAGGCTAGATTCTAGAATAGAGATGCACATCCAATAACTCTGAGAACAGACTTACGTAACTCCTGAACTTGGGCTAGGCTAAAGCAAAAGAATATTTATAATTTTAAGTTCTTGTAGCTTTTTGACTTAATGGCATATATGACACTTCGGCCTCATATATATATATATTTTCAATGAACACCAAAATGAAAGTCCTGAAATGCTATGTTTGGTCAACACTATATATGGCTGTGAATGCTGGACAATCACTAAAGACAGTGAACAAAAAATAGAAGCAACAGAAATGTGGTTTCTTAGGAGACTGCTAGGAGTCGTGGAAAGAAAAGAAATCAAATGAGGTAGATCTAGTGCTTGATGAAGCCCACGTGGGACGCTCAATGTTAAAAACAATCAGGAAACGACAAATGCAGTTTTTGGGACACCTGAATAGATAGACATATATATAAGGGTCTTGAACATCTAGCTCTCACTGGCAAAATTGAGGGCAAGCAAGGCAGGGTTAGGCCCAGAATAACATACTTAGGGAACCTGAACAAATGGGTAACAGGGAAAGATCAGGGAAATGTAGCTTTTTTGAGAGCATCCCAGCAAAGGAATGAATGGAAAACCATGATCGCGGATGTCTGTTGCAGATCTGGCACTGGATGATGATGATATTTTGGCTGACTTTGGAGGTGCCCTTTATTCACAAACTGCGATTCAAACCGTTCTTGCTCTTGATTTTGATGATGCCAATCTTCCCCAGGAATCCTGAATTAGAATCTAGGAGACCTAGATTTAGATCTAATCTAAATCTAGATATATAATCTAGATCTAGATCTAGATTCTAGATCTAGATCTAGATTAGATCTCTAGTCTATCAACAACATTCCATTCATTTAAAAAGTTGCAGGCCAAAACAGTAACAACAGAATCTACCGTCTTCCACATAAACTGAAGCTAGCAGCTCAATAACCTTGACTGGATATTATCAAGAGTTTATATCTTAGTCTTAAATATCTAATCTAGATCTAGATATAGATGTAGATTCTAGATCTAGATGAAAGCATTTCCGGGAACCTTCTTCAGTCTTCAGGCGCTGATCAGTGACATAAGACACGGATTGAGAGAGGAAGACAAAAAGAGTAAAAAAGATGGCAAATTCCGCTTGCAGCGGCAGCACGCAAAGAATGTGTATTTTGTCGTATTATATTTATGAGGTAAATAAACTAGAATTTAGATATATATTAGATCTAGAATCTAGATCTAGAATATAGATAGTAACATACCTTGGAGAATGGCTAGGAGCGACACAGCCGTCGCTACAGCCCTCATAATAAGGGGTTGAAGAAAGACATACGAGAGTAAATCCAAGAAGTTTTTTCCCAATAAAAGTACGTTCTTCTCCTGAATGAAATGGGTCACTCGACTGCTGAGTGCTGAAAGGAGTGAAAGGGGTTCCTGGGTTCCTGGAGTACGGGAGTTATCGTTCCTTTTGTTCATGACGGTGTATGAGCAATCTTTACTATCTACAGGATATTCACTCAGGACATTTTTCGTCTTTCTGAAATTCCACTTGTGTGAGTGTGTGTGTGTGTGTGTGTGTGTGTGTGTGTGTGTGTGTGTGTGTGTGTGTTCCATGTATATGTGTGTTTTTGTGTGTTCGTCTGTTTGTGTTCGTGTGTGTAAATTATAAGTGTGTATATTAATTTTATATATATATATATATATATATATATATATATATATATATATATATATATATATATGTATATATATATGTGTGTTTGTGTTTGAGTGAGTGTGCGTTCGTGTACAAATTAAATGTGTGTGCTAGACGATTATGATATTGCCATCTCTTTTTCTCCTGTCCTTCATCCATCCCCTCGATTTTTCTGTAATTATGCTTTCTTTAGCTCTCTCATTCCAACTATCAGCTATACACATTCTAGTGCCAGATCTGCAACAGATATCGGTGATCATGGTTCTCCATGCATTCCTTGGCTCGAATGTTCTAAAAAGAAGCTCTACGCTACCCTCATCTTTCCCCGTCACCCACCTGTTTAGGCTCTTCAAGTTTAAATCGTCTACCCGTGTCCCCTGTCCCGTTTGAATTCAATTTTGTCAGTGATAGCTGCGAATGTTCAATGCCTGGGTAGGCCTACGTGTATCCAGCATCCAAGTGTCCAGGAACCTATATAATTACATGTATATCTAGTGGCGTCCAAAAGCAACTTGAAAATGTAACCACTCAAAAATCGTGTTACAGACTTGCACTACCCGCTTATGCCGCATACAAATTTAAAGCTGAATAAATGTTGTGTTAAGAGATGCCCAAGATATGGTCACTCAAAGTTGACCTTAAAAAATCAGGCTATGCAAAATTGTGCGAAATCAGAGAAACGCAAAATTAATTGTCTTCGCGCGTATATTTATTACTGAAGGGAATCAACATTGGTGGAATGGACATGTATTGGATATCAAATGAAAAGAGAATAGTATTGTCTCTGTAGTGAACAGCATCTTCTGGTTATATTTTCAAACAAATTGGAGAAAAGAGCAGTTATAAATAAATACTACTCAAAACCTGGCTAATGGTTTTGTGACAAAACTATTTTTTTTCACAATACTGTGTTAGTTAGATTTTGGGCATAAAATCATCCGCCAGTGAGGAACAGAAGCCACGAAACCGCCATGCTTTTGGGTGGTCTGTGGTGGGATTAACAAAACTGCAATCATGAGTTTAGTAGACTACAGTGCGCAAGTGTCTTGTCTTACCTTTATTTTCGTCATGGTGTCATTCAAGTAGACATTTCCATGCATAGCAAATCACTTTCTCACAGGGCCAATATCACTAGATAATTCTTGGAAAACCAAATCATATCAACATTGGAGTGTTCATTAATAAATAGCCCTTATAATTATGAATCCTACAGGTATGAGAAGAGTGGGGTACCATGAATTAAACAGCAGTTGAAAAAAAAGCTACTCTTGCTCCAAATATGAAGACCCTTTGTTTGCAACTTTGTGACATTTGGGGTGAAATCATGAAGGATAATTATGTTCAAAATCTGACAGAGTCGATGCCCAAAGGGTGCGTTCACTACACGAAACTTGGCTCATAATCATAAGCAAAATAACAATACGAGCACATTCAATATTAAGTCCAAGTTTTGTATGGTATTTATGATTGCTCTGTTTTCCTTTATATTGAAACATATCGTGACAAAATATGCAAATAGAATGTTGCTTTGCAAAACTAGATTCCCCATTCATTGGATATGTAATGTAAGTCCATTCTATCAATAGCCTAGGCCTATTGATGCTCCCCAAAACACGCGCGAAGACAATCTTACGATCCTTTGATTTTCACAATTTTGCCAAGCCTGATTTTGTAAGGCCAATTTTGACTGACTGTACCCCGGGAGTCTCTTAACATATATACATAAAATATTACTGTATCAGATAATGCTGAATTTATTTAGCTTTAAATTGGTATGCTGTATGACTAGGTAATGCGATGTTTTAACACGATGATTTGGTGATTACATTTTCAAGTTTCTTTTGGACGCCACTGTATATTATATTGTCTTTTCCTGATTGCTTTAATCAGCGAGCGGCCGACGTGGGCTTCTTCAAGATACTTCATTTGATTTCTATTCTCTCCAAGAAGTTCTCAGCTGTGTACTTAGAAACCACATTTCTGTTGCTATTATTTTGTGTTCAATGTCTTTATTGATTGCCCAGGATTCACAACCATAATACTAATACATATAGAAGAGTAGACACTTTCAAAACTTAAATTTTTGTTGTCATTGATTATATTTCCATTTTTCAGGTTTGAGCCATAGAACCTTTCATAAGACACACAAATGGAGAGGGGGATAAAAGAAAGTGTGTGTGTGTGAGTGTGTGTGTGTGTGTGTGTGTGTGTGTGTGTGTGTGTGTGAGAGAGAGAGAGAGAGAGAGAGAGAGAGAGAGAGAGAGAGAGAGAGAGAGAGAGAGAGAGAGAGAGAGAGAGAGAGAGAGAGAGAGAGAGAGAGAGAGAATGAGTCGGTGCTAGTTCACTTGACGCAATGACGGTCTACCGTGACGTGTCTGCCTACTTGATGGTCTACCACTACCACCGGGCCATCCTGACAATTGGTCCACTTGGCGGTCTACTGGCAAGTCTACAACTTAACGCTAACCCTAGCCAGATTCATCGATTTCAATTCGTCATGTAAGTAAGACGAATGCCAAAGTCATTTTTAGCCTTTTTGAGAAAAAAACCCAAAACCAAAAAAAAAAAAAGCAACTGTTTCTTTCGAACATTTGACTCCGTGGAACGGTTGATTGAATTTTGGTACACTCAATTGATTCCAGAACCAAAAGCCCCACACCAGCCAAAAATGACTTACTTAGACAATTATCTTATGAGCAAAAGGGATGTTTTCTTGTACAAAAGGTGGATTTGTTGGGGTCTTTTTCTTCTTAAGTCAAACATCATTCCCTTGTCTTTGAGGGGTCCACTTAGTTAGTTTTAGTAAGAGTTTTACGGCACTTGCAACACAACAAGGTCATGTAAATGCTGAAGATTAGAAGTGTTGCAAGAGAGTAACAAACACAAAAAAGAAGGAGGGGAGATAGAGAAGATCGATTTTTTATAGTAAAGGAGCAAACTACACTAGAGCATTCACCAACCACCCACGGGTTCACTTAGGAAATTCGAATAACACCATTTAAAAAATGCCATAAAATTAATAAGTGTCAACTCACCACAGGCCACATTCATTATAATTGTTAATTACTAGGTGACTCGTGGGCCAGACTGAAACAGCTCAAAGGCCAATTGAGCCCACGGGCCGAAGTTTGTCCATGTCTGATCTAAAACCTTATAAAAATGAGCAAGCAAAGGCTCAATCTTGAATTCGAGAATAAAATTTTATTTGGATCAAAAGACGTGAAGGAACATCTTGATTGCAACAACAATGACAATATCAAATCACGAGAAAAAAAAATTCAATTTTTCTTCCACGTGCCAAAGCCCCATTTATTATGTAAGTAACTAAAAGACCTATAAGTAATACATGAATTTAATATATTATTTTGTACCGGGTATCTATATGAGAAGATGAGAAGACCATACTCACACATAATCATACCTCAATAACTACTTTAAGTAAAAGGTGGTGGGACAATATGCTGCAAAAAACTACGAATTGCCATTGATAAAGCCATCATAGAATGCTATGACAAAACACACTACATACAAAAATACTTCAGACAAATACAATACACATATATACATCTATGCACATATTTAAAAAAAAAATTACAACTATTTCTACTCTTCTTTAGAGAAAATATTAATGCATTCTTTCTAATTTTCCATGTATCATCAAATTGATGGCTAAAGTTCTTTACAATACATACAAAGTAGAAGTACAAAAATCGAATAAAACATCTGACTGGTATTTATAGATTGAGTTTCAAGTTAGGAACAGCTGCCTTCTCTCTGACTACATATGTGGAAATCTAATTTGGTCCGACTTCAACTCTTATTTAAAATAAAAGTCTGCTCATATGACAAAATGTTCACCATACAAACTAATTCTACTTTATGATCATACACTTCATGCTTTGTGAGAAATTTGGGAACTTTCTTAAATTTCCAAATTATAAAAACTGAGATTAAAAGACTACATAGCAACTGGCACCCCCCCCCCCCCCCCAATTCATTTGGCTGTGATAACAAACCCAAAAAGAAAAAGGGTACTGAAATACTCCACAACATACTGAAAGAATAATTGAACTCAGGATGACACTACCACAACCACACACAAGATTATTTAGACCACAAGAATTAATAATGACCAGCAACAATTAAGTAAGCAACAAATTACCACAAAAAACCCCAGCAATTTAAAATAAGTTAAATTGTAATTAAGAGTCTGATTAACACTCTCTCATCACAGTAAGATCCTTTCAGACATAAAATGAGCTTTGCAAATATCTTTTTCTGACAGCACCTTCATAAACTTGAGTTTAGTCTTTGAGTAAAAAGAAGCACATGACACAATAATAATGGTCATTTAGAATAATGAAAGAGAAAACGTGACAGTGACAGACAGGAGTGGCTGGTGGAGAGTAAAGCATTTACAACCAACCAGTGGCACCCTCCAAACTCAAACTATCCACATTAAGTATAATATAAACCATCATTAGCTCCCTCATACAAACCACACAGTGAAACTGAACGTATAATGTTGAACATAACTTTACAGGAGTATGAAAAAAAGAAACAATAAATAACAGACATGCACATACATACAGACAGGCGCATAACATAATCCCTTGAGCTCTGGTCCCCCTAAGACAACAAGACCTGTGCCCCAGATTTCCCTAAGGCTGACAACCAGACTTACAGGAGTGTAAGTTGAAGCGTAGGTACATTCAGTTCAGT